TTTAACAAGACTTGCTTATCAATGTTTAAAATGGCTATCGTCATTGGTTCTCTAGAGAGATTCGTTGACATCTGGTTAATTGGGATGTTCAGTAAAAGCAAGACGGAAGAAAAGCAAAAAATCCAGGATATTATTTACCCGTATGAATATATGTATGTTTTTTCATGTCAGATTTTTGATGAAAACGTTTGCCACAATGCATACATGAATATGGGCGAGTATCTGAATGAATGAGTAAGTGTGTTGATAGTGTTGAAGAACGTTTAAAACATTTCCCGCATGTTTTACATTGAAAACATCGTTCTTGGGTATGAGTTGTTCGATGTTGAGCAAGGGATAGTGAATGTCCGAACATCTTCGGACATAGATCACATGAATACGGTTTTAAATCAGACGAATGACTCCGTCGAACATGAACTTCCAAACCATGTGACGTTGAGAAACATTTGTCACAATCATTGCATTTGTAACTATTGACTTCGCTCTCGTCTTCATCATCGTTTTCTTCTTCATTCTTGTCCGATTTATCACTTGTGCCCGACGACGAAAGATTCAGAGCAGATGAAGAGAATAAATTCGAATAATACTGAATACCAAGCAGACATTTCAATCTTTCAGCTAAAAGCAAAATCTATCAGATCGATTGACGCGCGTCACTCTTCTTACCTGTTATATCACCATTGAATGGTTCAGTATTGTAACCTTTTCGATGGAGTAGCATTGCTTCATTGAACCAAGTTGGAAAGATTGAGGACATGATGAAAAGGCAAGTAAATGTTCACGAATATTGCTTGACTTCAATGTTAATATACATTTACATTCCATTGGATGAGAACGAGAGGGTCAGAGAGAGAGAGAAAGAGAAGGAAGAGAAAAAAATCTCGCTCAAGGAAAAAGCAGAGGAGGCGAAAAATTTGTATTGGCTCTTCGTATTTTCTCCCGTTCGATAATAGAAATAATATCACATCATTGGATGAATCGATCCTTTCTTTTTCCTCTTTTCTCGAAAAAACACCCTCTGTACTCTTTGTTTAAGATCTACTATTACGGTGATTGCGAAGTAATTATTTATTATGTTTATATCTTCTAATAAATCCATTCAAAAGAACCTGTGTGGATTATTTGATTTATTTCCTATGAACTTTAATAGTTTTTCGATATTTATCAAATGTGTACACAGACATCTTGTCGTTGACAAGTAGCGCAATGATAGACATGAAAGTTGTTTGTTGTATATATGATTCCATGTTCGAGTCAACGATATTTTCAAGTTCAGAACGATATACAAATAGAAACATGCAAATAAATTTTTCCTTTAATTTTTTTGCGTAAAAATAAACATACAAACGCACTTAATGGCATGATGATACTCAACGTATTTTGCTTTTAATATATTTGAACATTGCATTTAGTATTAATATATATTTCATACGCACACTGTCTCTGTTGTTCGACTAGAAATGAATATAAAACAATCAGAAAATGAACACTAGATGATTTAGTACAAGATTTGGACATAACAATGAATAATTAAGTGATCAGACCGAAAGTTGCAGATTAACAAGATTATCATTCATCTAATTGACTGTTGGCCAAGTCAATCATGTAAGCATATCAAGTTCAAAAATAACTACGTCTGCTGCCAGATGGCGTATAGGTTTTACTCTTGTTATATCTATTTAGAAATGCAGCCCACAATGTTGCTGTTTAAAAGTTCAATCGACTGAGTTCTTTTATAGGTTATAATGAAAAATATTATTCCACTCGAAGATCTATATTTGAAGAAATGAAGATATCCAGCAGCTGCTGTGCGCATTTTTGGTGAGTAAACTTTTGGCAAAGCGTAAACTTGTTTGTGTCTGTAGGCAAACCTACGCGAATAGGTGCCGATATGACATGGTTCTAATGGGATTGTAATTCAGAGTCAATAGAACAAGTTATAGATTCAAAATTTGAGTTTTTATTGATTTAATATAATTGATGAGAATGACTAAAAAAATATTCTATAAAGAACATTGTAATGAGACATGCAAAGGTATAGAGATTCATACAACACAACACTGATCTAGAGAATAGGCAATAAATAAAAGACATCTGATGTGTCTTTAAGAGAAGAAGTTTTGTGAAAGAGAAGATATAAGAGTACATTGAGAGAAATATTGACTTGCAGAGAAACTAGGAGACAGATGAAGAATAAATGTGGGGTTTTCAAATTAAGATTAAATTGTTCTTTGTTCTCATCCTGCTGATGTTTAATCAGCGTAGATAACGCGTAATGTGTTTGTTGTACCATAACCTGGGCGCTAGAAGATCGAAAAGACGAAGAGTTTTCAATGGAATCATGAATGATTATCGATTATTTACCCATCCGGTTACAACGACAACAGCGTCACCAGCTGAAACAAAACCACGGCGTTTAGCAAGGGTAATTGCATCAATGACACGAGCATCGACATCAAGTAACCAATCACTCATAGCTAAAGCTTGAGTAGCTGAGATATGATGCTGTTTGAACAAAAGTTCATCATCTTGCTTAGAGTAGTCAGTAGCTAAAATAGACAAAGTGACATGTTCGAAGCTAATACTAATGAAATGTTTTGATATTACTCTCTTGAAGATTTCCAGCAACTAAAAGAGAAAAAGAAAATCATGCAGATGTTATGTAAAACCGTAGTTTGAAAAGAAATGTCATGATTATATATATATATATACATGTACACACATACACCATCTACTGCTTACTTTGAAGAAGATTAGCTTGCGAACTAGTTTCTATATGAATATTAGTGAAAGAAAAGGAAACGTAAGTATATTGTCGAATCAATTCGAAAACGAAACAGTTTATTATCCCATGAGAATAACTTACTTCGTTGCGCTAGAAAAGAAAATATCGAATTAATGACAAGGTATCTTCAAGTGTAGAATACTTACTGCAAACGAAAACTGGACAGCAACCACGATATAGATGTACTTGTCTTGCGGTTTTCAAAGATCGAGTTACAGTCATGATGACAGCTCGAGGACGATATTGGGCAATAAGATGAGCCGAACTATTGAAAACATCAAAATAAAGTTACTGAACAATCCTCAAAATACTGCTTATCTATTCTTCATTCTCGGACAATCTACCACCAACTTATTTGTACAGTACACCTCGATAGTTTTACAGCGGAAAAAACACTCGGGTCATTCTAAGTGCGACCTTTCTCATGTGTAACCTAACTGCAAAAATAGCATTGTGTAAATAGTACCTATGAGCACCATGATGTACATGTAAAATGCGTGACACTCAATAAGAGAATGTGAAGAAGAAAGGATTCAAAAAGGACAGTTCGTTGTTTAGTTGATTTTTCAATGTGTAGAAACAATCAATGTTGAAAAATGTTATTCAAATGTGTTTTTGTGTGTTCTTACCGTCCAGAATGAGTTAACACAACAATGAGTGAAGCATAACTTCGAAAGGCGGCTTCGACAGCAGCAATAGCGGTTGATTGCATTTGATCCTGAGATGAAAATACAATTCCATTTAGTGCATACAAAAAGAAACAACACTGTAAATTGTTTACCAATGGTGGTTTTGTAAAGTAACGAAGATTTTCAAACAATTCTCGGTGAAATAAGCAAGCTTCAGCTTCACGAGCAATCTAAACCAAACTACTTGATAAAACTGTTTCTCTTCGTGACAAAATCGAACCTCATGCATCAATTGAATGCATTGAATAGGATATTTGCCTTTTGCTGTTTCACCCGACAACATAATGCAGTCCGCATTATCCAAAACAGCATTCGCAACATCACTAACTTCAGCACGAGTTGGACGAGGGTTCTTTGTCATACTTTCTAACATCTAGAAACTCGCATCAATTAGAGACAATTCAATTTTCTACGAAAACTTATTTACTTGCGTAGCGCAGATAACAGGTTTGCCAGCTTGATTACATTTAGCAATCATCATCTTTTGTGCGACAAACACCTTTTGTGGTGGAATTTCAATACCCATATCACCTCGAGCGACCATAATACCATCAGCTTCTTCCAAAATTGCATCGAAACTGAAGAGAAAGAGAATGTGTGGAGACGATTTCATAATGGAGTGCAATTATACTTTTGAATGCCTTGATGGTTTTCAATTTTAGCGATGATTTTGATGTTTTTTCCTGCTTCACCTAGAATTTTTCGAATGACACGAATGCCTTCAGCATCACGAATAAAACTGGCAAAAACCATGTCAAGCTACAACGCAATCTTCGTATCAATTCATCATAGTCCAAGAACAAAACAATGGCTTACATCGTTCTTGACTGCGAATTGTAGATCTTTTTCATCTTTGTCCGAAACAGCAGGTAAATCAATGGGTACACCCGGTAAATTAACACCCTTTCGACTACCCAATAAACCACCATTTTCAACTTCACATACAAGAAAATTGTCTCCTACAAATGTATACAATATACATTGAAATGAAATCATATGATTTAACTACTAACCAACTTCTTTAACAAGTAACGAAAGAAGGCCATCATCGATAAACACTCGATTTCCTGGTTTAATTACGTGAACAATATTTGTATAGTCAACATATAGGGCATCTTTCGTGCACTTCTCAGCAAAAGCTGGATCCGTAGTTATACGAACAGCCATGCCATTTTGTAAATCAAGTTCACTATTGACTCCCTTGGAAGTGAAAACAAGATAATTTTGACCTTTCGAATATCAATTTCGCTAACTTACATCAGCTAAAACACCTGTTCGAATTTCTGGACCTTTGGTATCTAATGCGATAGCAATTGGTCGAAATTCTTCATTTTCACCTGTTAACTTTTCAGCCGCACGAACATTATTAATGCTTGTTTGATGATACTAAACAGAAACACATGATATTCACATACTATCATCGACATTGATATACTTCGTAAGATCCATGTGAAAAATTCATCCGAGCGATGTTCATTCCAGCATCAATCATTTTTCGAAGCATTTCTACGCTTTGTGATGCAGGTCCTAGAACGATACTGAATATATATCCAATGCACTCAAAAATGCTACTTTACCTAAGGTACAAATGATGCTCGTATGGCGAGTATTCCATCTAAATTTTGGAAGAAACGAAGTCTTTCTTATGGAAACATTTAGAATCCTCACGGTTCGGAATCGATGTCAAGTAATGTTCGTTGTTCAAGAGCATTGACAGCTGTTTCAGCAAATGATTGATGTTGATAGAAGTTTCGATCTTTGGGATCTTTTTGTTTGAGTTCACTTTTGATCTTACCACGAATATCCATCTAAATGGAAATATTTTTATTCAGAGAACAGACCGTTTCCTAGCTAATCAGCGTTTCTCTTAACCTCGACTTTTCTGTTAACGCAGCTGAGTTGTTCTCGCTCATACAAATGCGTCAATTTTTGTTTGGCATTCGAGTTTTTATATGAGTACATACACACAAAGGACAATAACAACAATAACACCATCATCAAGAAAAGAAGAAGAAGAAGAAGAAGACAAAGAAAAACAAACACTTCATACAGCTTGAAAGCATGTACAAAGTTTCGAAATCATTGGCAAGAAAGAAAATTTTTCTAGGGTTCAATTTCTCCAAGAAAAACCGTTTTATCTGATGAACAGGATGCGACGATAGGTTCTCTCGGATGAAAGTCAACCTCGTTGACGCTTCCGAGATGACCTGGTAAACGATAAAGTATTTGTCTTGATGCAACATCCCATATGTAGACATGTTTATCGGCACTTCCACACGACATACGTTTGCCGTCAGGTGACCATGCAACACGTAAAAGATTCTTTTCAAAATTATGTTGATGGCCTTGTAATAATTTGATACATCGATCAACTCCATTGAAATATGGGCGAATATCCCATATACGTATGGTCGAGTCCATGGAATTCGATGCTAGATAAGATCCATCATGACTTAATTCAAGACCTGTAGGGCTGTCAAGATGACCTTCAAGACGTAAGGATACATCTTTTTTTCGTAAATCCCACATTCTAATTGTATTGTCGATTCCACCGGAAAAGATTGCATCCGATGATGCATTGAAACAGCAAGTTAAAACTTGATATGTAGTTGAAAGTGTCATCACTTCGCCACGTTTTCGTCGGTCCCAAACTTTAACAGTACCATCATCCGATCCGGTACACATCATATCTTTGCCAATACGTGAATAACCAATCGAATTAATAAATGATTGATGGCCTTTTAACTTTTTCACACGCTGACATGTGGTAATGTCCCATATATAAGCTAATTTATCTAAACAAAACAAAACAAAACAAAACGGATAGATCAATTTCAATCATTGCTTTCAAATGCTTAAGACGTACCCGTCGAACATGAAGCAAGTTCACTTCCATCAGGACTCCATTGAAGTTCCATAATAGCTCCTCCATGGCCAGTTAAAACGGCCCAATTGTAACATTGATCGTAAACATTCCATAAAAATATCTTCCGATCAAATCCAGCCGATGCCATTATTTCACCATCAGCATGGAATTTACACGAAAAGATTTCTCCTTCATGCCCTTGTAATAACATAATTGGTGCTGCTAACTTTGATGTACGTCGTTGGTGTGCAACAATTTGATTGCTCTCACTCGTTCGAGCTTGTTTGTATGGTGGCTGAGGACCAATGGGAACCAGACTTCCATTTTCATTTGGTCGTTTTAAACTCATTATTTACAGAAAAATCACAGTGTATTACAACAAGAGGAAAAGAGACAGACACAGATATAAGATCGAGTGAATTCAAATCTAGAGCAGTGGAGAATTTGTAAATATGTACATGAACAAAATCAAAACAATCACATGCAATTTCTTTTCCTAGCATTCGGTCTTGCTCGCGCATTTCTGTAAAAAGAAATTTAAATTATCTAACCTTTATAGCTCGATGCCAGTCATGAGGATGGCAATGGTTAGTAGTTCGATGATTGGCTAGTGCTGTGTGTTCCTTTGAAGAATGACCGTTCATGATGAAAATAAGTTTTGAGAATGGATGGCTGGTCAAGACACGCAGTACAACAGTGTTGTGTGATGAATAATGATAGAATGAGACAGAAAGGGGCGACGGCGAAAGTGATTTTTTTCCTCTCTCTCTCTCTGCCTAACTTTTTTTTTCATTCTGTTGACTTAATCGTCCAGGAACGCATCTAACTATACTTTTACAATGCACACGTCAGATGTTACTTCACTAACAAGAAAACGGCCGGAAGATGTTGAGGGAGAAAAAACGTGTGTGTGCGAACGCGATCGTGTCCTAAGTAATTCATCAAAGTCTATGAAATTACTATATATGGTCAGAGAAAATAAGTATACAAAAGGATTATTTCACTATCACGCATGCAACGTCGAAACTATTATATACGAAGAGAAGATCAAGGATGGACATATAAACGAAAGGCTTGAGTGCAAATTTTCATGCACACACCCGTCTTATTTCTTTCATTATGATGATCGAGTACAAAAAAAGAGAAGATACGATTTAACTATCACATCAGTCTGTTTCTTCTGCAGACACCCCGGGTACATTCATAGAGGGCATCCAGCTATTCTAATAATATCTATATATAAATGCAAACAGGAAAAGTGAACCTATTGCTGAACTAAAGAGAAAAGATCAAGCGTAAAATCTCGTACCTTCGTTTTTTATGTGATTGAGTACGTTTATGACTCGATGTTGTTCGCTTGTCGGCTCGAAGTGTAAATACCAGCTGAATATTCTTCTGCTCCTAGTGCAAAAACGATGTTGTTTTTTCCTCGATATATCGTTTTCCTCTGTCGAAGGGAGAAGAATCTCCTCGTACTCAAAGAAAAGAACAGAACAAAAAAACAACACGATATTCTCTGGAATGTGTGGACTATGATTTCTGATCAAAACAAGAAACAAATGATTTGCTCATCAAACCTTTTATTCCTTTTAGTTAAAAATATAATTTATATGCATTTGCTCTTTTTAAAATTGAAAGAATCTGATCTTTCCATTCAATTGAATCTTTGTATAATCGTGTGTTGAACACTTTGTAATTGAGTAGAAACTTTTGATATAGCCGCATACCGATGTAAGCCTTGGATATTCTGTTGCTGATCTAGTTGAAGAACTTTATTGACTTGGTCGATCTTGCCTGTGATTGTTTGATCGAGTATGCATGATATCAGAAGACTTTCGACATCTTCCGGTTGAATATTCAGTTCTTGAGCAATGAAATCGATGCGGATTTTTGTATAAGGTTTGATTAGTTTAACGAGCACTTTCGTACGTATCGTGCGTAAAAGGATTTCGATGTGTTCGCGAATGAATTGATCGTCCATGATCGCTTGGCGATTAATCCGAAGAATAGATTCGAATTCTTTGATGTCATTGTTTTGATAAGCACCCACAAGGTTGGTCATTGCTTGAATTTCCGGATCGGTTTTATACGGTTTAGCTTCTTGAGAATCGAATGGGTTGATTGTTGAACGCATTAACATGTTCGCTAGAACGAGATATTTCAAACATGTTGTACGACGTGGTGAGCCAGATTCGTCATAGCTTTTAAATGCTTCAAAGAAATCTGTATGCGCTTTTTCATATTCTTGCTCTCGAAGATGCATCTTGCCCCCACATTCTCGTATCACACCTAAAGAGAGTCGGATCAATCCAACAGATGTTGAGATTATGAGAACAAACCCATGATAAGTGGATGAGGAATGGCAGCTTTAATGTGCAATGATAATTCATACAGCTGTTTTAACTTCTTGGTATTTTTTTGCGATGTGTGCATTTGAATTTCCAATGCATATACTTCAAGTAATTGGGTGCCCTTACGTTGATCATCAATACCTGGAAAGTCAATCGTAGAGGATGCGCAATCGAAGTTGGTTCAGAGGTTACCTTCAGATGTTTGACATGACTTATGTAGTTCTTTGAGAATCTTTTGTAACTTAGCATGATCTTGTTGTTCTTCATATAATTTACCTAATTTCAGATTGGTTTTGAACCAAAGTCGTTCGTTTTTCGTCTCCTTCAAGGCATCTAGAGTTGTTTCATAGAAATTTTGTAGTAAATTCATTTTTTTCGATGTTGAAATGTAATCAAGAATCGAATTGATTGACTTTTCACTAACATTCCGTGTAACAGCAGATTTGATATATTTCAACCTAATAAATTCAAATAAACAATCATTAGCAGATAGATTCGGACTTATACGCCTATGTTGACACAGAATTGATCGAACTTCGGTATCTATTGCACGGCGGAAAAGACGCGGCTCTGTTCAAGTAATGAAAACTGCTGCTTCTAATATAAAATTCTCCTGTCCATGCTGGCCAACTCAAAGCACTCTGTGTTTCAAAGTGAATACTCACAATTTATTGTAGCACTTGAGCATTTCTTCATAATTTTCCATTTTGAAATAAATCTTCATCATTTGTTTCAGTGCTTTAAACCCCCAGTCGCCCTTTTCTCCGCTTTTCTCTTCTAATTCTAGCACTTTTTTAAAACTTTCAATAGCAGCGAGTGGATCGTCCTCTTTTAAAGCCTTCGAGTTGTAATATTGATTTTCCAGATCAGCATCGGGCTCTTCATCGGTATTTTCGTAATCGAGATCGAAGTCATCATTGTCACACATATCGTCATCGTCCGACATTTTTCCTTGCTACTGATTTGTTTTAAATCTGAAACAAACAATACTACATGTGTACTCAAAATTTTCAATTAAATCAAACTTGCACAACTCGAGAATAATGGTACGAAAAAGAGAATCTGACTTCATGCGACATTCAAAGATGTTTCCATGAACGTTTTCATCGCTATGCGAGTATTTGACTGTCGAAATTCGGTGGGAGTTACGTTAAATGCATCGGGAAAGTTCAACAATAGTTGATCAATGTAAGCAATCATTTTATGAATGGCAGAAATTTGTGAAATGAGACAAAAAGAAGAAGAAAGAACGAATGCAATAAAATATGGAATGGCTAACATTTCATTGGTGCAGATCATCAACAAATCAAATGTATTCATTCGATAGATGGGTAATAGGTGAAAAGGACCAGAGATGAACTGACTTCTTTTATATGAAATTCATAGTAATTGACAACATTTCATATTGAACATGAGTTTCGGTTGGATTCAGATTCATTTCAATTATTGATAATTATCATGAACTGATTTTTCTCGTTCGCTTTTGCAATGCAGCAATTTTTGAACAAGCTAACAAACATGTGAGAAAACTTTCTACTGAGCATGAAACGTGCTGGTATCTTTCGTATGCAATATCAGTGACAGTAACTTATCAGACAGTCTACTCGGTCCTTAAATGAAATCATTTTTCAAAATTCATAAATTCGTTTGTACACTTCGAAGCAATCTCAACCTCTTATTTCAACATGTCGATTAAAGTCTTACTGGTTAAGAAACAAAACAATACTTTTATAGAACCTCAGTACAGTAGTTCTGTCTGCACATTCTATACCATTCATACGACTTTCTCCCACGCTATTTCCACTTTGGTGACACATGTACTGCTTTATTAAATGTCTTCTTAAGCGAGGGTTCACACGAAAATGGTCATATTTACACATAAGCATGTACGCGAATAAATACTTTGATTTCGAATTCGGAATGCATCCACCGACAGTTCTTCTCAGTCTGGGTATCGATCATAAAAACACTTCAATTTTTAAACCAAGAGCTGAATGAGATTTATTCAACATGAAGACAAAAACCATGGATCAACAAAAGGCAAATATGAATGTTTCACCAAAAAAGCAGACGTGAATCACCTTAATAATGATTGTACTTCTTTCATGACGAGAGAAAATGATATAACCTCTTCCCTAGGTTAAAAGACCTGGGGTCTCCTAAAATTTCTCCCCATGTAATATAGGCGAGGGTCTTCTAATTAGGAGAGTCTTATTTAGTGCCATTTGGTAGGAAATAAACATTAAATAATGCAAAACTTCTTCGATTTATTGAATTCCATCAAACAATTACAAAACTGTAAAAGTATATGAACAGAAGGTAAACTATTTTTCCCTTCACATACTCGCGAGCTGTCTAATTCGAATGAAAATGGAGATTTAAAAAATGTGTCTTACCATAAAAGCAGTGCGAGAGAAAGTCAGTTTTATTTATTCATACCTATAATTCATATATTAAACGTAAATACACCTATATAAATGTGTTATAGTTAGGTGAGATCGAAACAAATCTTTTCTCATCTATTCCTACCAATTCTTATTTTTACGGGAGAATGTAGAAATGAACTATGAATTTATCAAATCAAAACTAAAAACAGTGGAATCTTCATTTATATCCGAACTCGAATTAGACAGCTCACAAAAGAGACATGGTTTAGTGATTTCCCCATCGCTTCTAATGAAATTCCTTTATAAATGGGTCTTCCAATTCAAGATGATCTTTTAATATTTCTGAGGATTTAGTTTGAATCACGCATTCGTTAAGTCCGATCTTTTCATATGAAAATATCGATCGAAAAAATATCCGAGTTCTGCGAACTACGCTCAAAAATGAGACAAACATGTAAATGACATTCGTGAAAAATTATAGAAAGTCATATTTGGAATCAAAATACGTACATTAGTACCAGAAAGTTAGGATTCTAAGTATTATTTGATGAATATGCATGACAACAGAGAAATATTAGACACCGTCAAATTTCATGTAAACTAATGTTGAGTATTATGTACAGATGACGCCATAACTTTGAATAGCATCGTCTGAAAAGACTAAAAAGAAGGTTTTAGACGGCATTTTTCGTATTCTATCGAATGAACCAACGCATTTCGAAGTTAAAATTTTGTCATATGCACTCGAGGTCGATAACGTCATAAATTCTCTCTCAAAACACTTGTCGGCAAATTCCACAACATATTCCACTTGGCAACAAAAATCATTTATTTGCACGTTCAAAGTGAACAGTATGAGAGAAAACATAGGATGTTTGAAATAATATATTTTCTACGTTTCAGATTCATAGTTACCAATGAGCACAGGCAATTATTGTATCAAGATAGAAATTTACGAAATAAAAGCAAAAAGGAAGTAGACAAGATCCTATTGGTGTAAATGCAACGCGAATCAACTTTATTTTGACAAGGAAGGAAAGAAAGAAGAAAAGACGGATACGTAAGAACAAGAGTAGAGTAAAAGATTCTTTCTCAGAATCAGACTAAATCTCCTACAGGGACGTAGCATAAGTAGTTTGCTCATATGTATCGGGAGAAAAAAGAATGACTAATGAAGTTTTCGTCGTACGTCATGCTTTTGCTTATAAAACTCAATATATATTTGTCATGGTCTTCTAGATGATTATCTTCGATAAGTAAAATATTGAAACGTCCCCTATTGTTAAATGACGGAGTATTTTACTGATTAGTTTTTTTTTAATCCGATTTAGTAATAAGACAGATCGCCTAGGAATATTCCAGTACCTAAAACATGCTCGAGATGATCTCTGATCAATGTAGGAGTTGTGGTTATATTTAGTACTCTTTAATGATACATCATCAATCATTTGTGATAAAAGTCATCTAAGGATGAAGCTTCAGTCGATCGTAGATCAATACAACAGGCCATTCAGGTAAGTCAGCATCTGGTGTCGCGACACATTTCTTTATCTTCCTTTCCATATTTAGCTTTCGGCATACTTGAAAAGTTCAAGCAGATTTTAATCGACTTCACCCTCTCACTAAGTAAACAAATAAACAATCCGAGAATATTTTCTCTACTAATCTTGCCAAGATATTTTTAACCCTAAACCACTTGATGTAATTACCTAAAAATAGTCTGTTCTTAGACAGAAGAAATTTCTCTGTTTATCAAAGATCTCGAGTAGTTCAAATTTAGACATGTACGAGACGCAGGAGGTCGAACAAGTAAACGATCAGAATAAGTTTCACGCACTTTATTCATTGTCATGATTTAACAAGTTGAAAAAAAATTAGCCGGGATATTTTCTCATTATTCTGATTGGTCACTTAGACTAACTAATAAAATAGAAATCACACGCATTCGTTATAAAAATAAAAAGGTAAAAATAAAAAACATCGACTTAAATTTTCTTTTTTCTATTCTCGGCATCGTTTCCCCCGAAGTGAAATCAGTTTCACGGACTTTATCATATTCATCATATGCGAAGTGCATAGATGTTTAACGATTCACTTCGAACTGCTTCTTGTCATAAATTTTCGTTTTCGTATATACATACACATACACATCAATCGTCGAGTACACTTGTAAAACCCTATTCAATAAACATCATCTGATTTGTGTTTCTGTTATTTTAGATTCCTTTCACATCTTATTGTATTCAGATATCGACTTAGCGAAGCAAAACCTTCACTTTCAAACTTTTATTTTTGTCCATGTATGTTTCGTTATAAATGACGAATCGGCCATACGAAAACGATAATAATACAATAAATAAATTACTTGAAAAGAACAAAATGCCCAAATGTTGGGGATGTGTTAAGCAACAGGATGAAGAAACAAAACGAAGTAAACAAATCAACAAACAGATCAATGCGAAATTAAAGCAAGATCAACGAATTTACAAGGCAACGTATCGTTTACTTCTGTTAGGTCTGTTCATGAATTCGTACATATTTTTCGTTCTTCAACACACAATCCTTTTTTCTATTCAGGTGCAGGTGAATCGGGCAAATCAACAGTGGTCAAACAAATGAAAATTTTGCATAATCCATTTACTAATGAGTAGGATCGTCGCATTTGTCTTATTCTTCATTCGATCGCTGTTCTTCTAGAGAAAAACTGGAAAAAATACCAGATATTAAACGTAATATACGTGATTCCTTAACGGTACATTTCATTTCGTATTAATTCTCCGTTTTTGTATATGTTTGACATATTTCAGAGTATACTACGAGCTCTCGAAGCACTACATCCACCTATACAATTCGAGAAAGAAGAAAATCGGGCACGTGCAACATATATTCTAACGCGAGCACATGAAATCGATTTCGATTATCCGCCTGAATTTTTCGAACATGCTCAAATTTTATGGAATGATGCAGGTGTACAGTCATGTTTTGAACGATCCAATGAATATCAACTGATTGATTGTGCGAAATAGTAAGTGAAAGCGATTTGACAGTCCAGCATGATGGTTGTATTCGTGTTTTTAGTTTTCTTGATCGAATCAACGAAATCAAAAAACCAAACTATACTCCAAATGAGCAGGTATAGTTTCGTGAAAGTGTATTAGTCAGTTTCTACCAATGACTCATTGGATAACAAAGGGGTTCGAATGTTCTCTCGAATGTCGGAATCTATTTTAGGGTTTCTGTTTAATTTAACACCCTTCTCGTATATAAGACGTAGAAATATGGGCAAGACTTATTTCATCAAACGAGTTTACATAAAACAAAGCGTCTAGGCATTGAGAATCTGACAAATCGTTCGTATCTGGCTTTTTAACAAGAAATAATTTCTTTCGATGTATTCACGTGTCAGTCATCAGTAAAAAAACAGACAAAGATCCTATTTTTAGATGAACGAACACCGCTTTCGACGCGTGAAAACTGAACTCTTAGTTCTGATTGATTAAAACTAAAAAAACAACAAGAACAGTACCCGCTATTTAGAAATGACGTCAGTGTAGATTCGTTGATGTGAATACGTTGTAATTACGTGTCCTTGTGGGGAAAAAATTATCGCCGATTCTTTATTGTACATACTGATGACTAGTGAAGCACATTCATATGATCAAAACATACCTGGGCATATTTTGTTGTCATAAACATCAAAAGATTCTATCATAAATCAATGATTCTTTTAGGATATTCTTCGTTGTCGTGTGCTGACGTCAGGCATCTATGAAACGATTTTTACTGTTGATGGCGTGCGATTTCAGTATGTATTGTCATTTGAATGTGGAAATCATATAAAAATTGTGAATGTTGAAGTATGTTCGATGTTGGTGGACAACGTGAAGAACGTCGCAAATGGATTCAATGCTTTAATGATGTCACTGCAATAATATTCGTGACAGCGTGTAGCGGATTCAACTTGGTACTTATTGAAGATGAGAAACAAAATCGTCTGAAAGAATCGTTGGATTTATTTAAAAATATTTGGAATAATCGGTAGAATTGATTTGAAATAAGATGAATAGAAACATTATCGAGAGTCATGTTTCGTATTTTCAGATGGTTAAAAGCAATTTCGGTTATTTTGTTCCTGAATAAACAAGATTTGTTAGCTGAGAAAATTAGATGTGGCCGTCGACTTGAAGATTACTTTCCTGAATTTGCTGGATATACGATTTCCAATGCTGAATTGAGTAAGAATTGTCTTTTCAAAAAGGAGAACATTCGCTTCATCATTCACATAAATTCACTTTTCAGGTAGAGCCGATCCAGACGAAGATCCAGAAGTAACTCGCGCTAAATATTTCATTCGTGATGAATTTTTGGTAAGTCGAATTGATTGCATTAGTCGCGATGACTTGATGACTATTCTTTCTGTAGCGAATCAGTACCGCTACCGATGACAAGCGTCATTTTTGTTATCCACATTTTACTTGTGCAGTTGATACGGAGAACATTCGTCGAGTATTTAATGATTGTCGGGATATAATTCAGCGTATGCACTTGAGACAGTACGAATTACTGTGATTTGTCTTTCGAATTCTTTTCAACTGTGCTTATTTTTTCCTTTCTCGTTTTTATCTGCTGTTTTTCCTAACGAAATTCAAACTAGTTCTTCGTTCGCGTTTCTTTTTTCTGTTATGGAGAAGAAACCCAACTGCCTTATTATTAATACGTTCTATTTCAAATCAATCCGCCTTGTGCTCAATTCTTTTCTTATTTGAACAAGAGAAAAACACACTGTCTAACAATATGTAAATGAACTCTTCATGGTGCTGTTCAGTTTCTTGTGTGTTCGATTCCCTCCTCAATCGGTGTACAATTCAAATCATAGTATCATTCTCTCTTCTTCTTCTTCTTCTCGTACATACGCTTTCAGTGACTGTCAAGACGGGATCCATCCAGAATTCGAATCTCGACTGACGTGTCTTCTCTCATATATTTTGGACGCAATAGTCATCGGTTGTTTTGTGATCTGTCAACATGTGTGCGATGACCTAAATATCACTGAAACTGTTTTCTTTTAATATTATCCTTCTGTTTTTTTTTGTATTTTTCAAAACGAAATTCACGTGTTATATAGAGAACATTACCTAATTAGAGTTCTACTTTCATTCTTTTTTAAATTCAGCGTCTACGATCTTCTGTCTTTTTCTCTCTTTTGCTTGCTCACCTGATCTCGCTTTCTTTTTTTTACTGTCGCTCTTTTTTTTCTCTCAAGAAAACAAATGTATTTGTATTTTCTTTCTCTTTTCTCTTTTCGTGCTGTATCTGTGAATGTGTGTGTCTTTTTTAACTCCTTGAATGAAGTTTTTTGACACGCACAAATAAAGAAAAACCAGAAAATAAGATATTAGTAATAATAAAACATCTATTGTAATAGAACATATCTTATTTTTCTTGTCGAAAAAGTCAACTATGTACAAATCAGACGAAGGCATTGATTTTCTCTTGCATATGTTGACGAAGTTCATATGTCAATGCATTGGATAGTTCGAATGCCGTTTGCAGTGCCATATCTCGTTCATCCGGTTGATGTTGGGCGCGTTCGGCTTGTTCAATTAAATGAGAAATAGCTGCTTGTTGTAAATAGGTAGATAGCGAACGTTTGTGAAATATTTTCACGAACATGGGCACATTGTACAGATCTTGCATCGCACTAATGCTTGATTTGTCAATACAGTAGATGTAATAGATTGTATTGAAGGTGACCAATCGTGTCTCAACAATAGCATGTTCGGATTTCGGGAGAAAGAGGTGTAATAGACGACTTGTGTTAAGACGAGAGGATATATGATGGAAACATTGATCTTTATTTGTATATCGACGAAATAATTGGGAATCAAAAAACTTTTCGAAATCTTTATACTCGTCTTCGAGATCGAGCAATACAATTAGAGATGGATGAATAGTTGACATTTATCTAAAGCGAAAAACATAGAATGTTCTCTTAACGAAGACGTCGTTTGTCACTAAGAAATACAGATAAATATTCATACAGTTTAATGCCTTCTTCAAAACAATAACGCGCTCGAACTTGATCACATTGTTCTATGTATCGATCACCCGCATTTTGGTATTCATTTATAGTGTCAAGACTCCATTGGACCAGAAGGCGTTGGACATTTTCGAACATTGCTCTTATTTTTGGATAACGTCTGAAGACATGACTACGATCTTCATCGTCTTCAAATGACTTACCTTGGATATACACAAGGGAAATACTGTCGAATTGAGAAAGTTTATTGAGTAGAGAAATTCGCTCATTCGGTGATGAATTAGTTAGATCGACAAAGACTGTTGTTCGTTCCATGGATTGTAATTTATTGAGATAATCGTCTGTTTGATTGAAAAGTTCTATAGGATGTTTGGTTAGTTTTGGAAGAATTTCAATTATTTGTGATTGATTTGTAGGGCATAGATGGAGAATGACGAGATGTTGACTTTTTGTTGGATCAGGAAGAACTTGTTGTTCATGATTCGTTTCTATTTCTGTCTCTTTCAGTATTGTAGTCGCTTCATGAATTTCTAAACAAGTACGTTGAGGAATCAAGTCATCATTCGTATCAGTCATAGTTGATTGTGGCTCGTCAAATTCATCACCATAGCTAGAACGGACATTTTCTATTTCACTGCAAGACGCAGTGGTCATTTCCAAGATTGGAGATGGTGAAAACAATGTTGCAGCCTGTTTTCTGGCTACTTTCATAAAATAGATCGGTACTGTTTGTTTGTCCTGTAACAATTCAATATCAGCTGGCGCTTCAAATTGTTGTCGAATAGTTTGTAGCTGTTCTTTCCATTGATTAAGTTCTGTTTCAGTGAAATCATTCTCCTGTCGACCATCACGAAGTTGCTGAGAAAACTGCTGCAACACCGTTTTCATTCGATTGTTATACTCGTTGAGTAACTGTCGGAGTTCGTCACGAGCTGTCTGTGCTGAATATTGGATTTTGAGAATAGCATCATGTTCCCATACGTCAATCTGAGATAATAATGGATGTTCTTGATGTTTTTCGTGAGGTTTGAACAATTGTTTCAAATTCTCATACTCCTGTTCGATGCCATTCAACTGTGTCGACAACTCAGTACGATGTTCCAAGACGTGTTCGACACAATAGAATCTACGACAACCATCGCATAGTAGTACCCAATTTTTACAACCACATTTGATACATGGCTTTTTTTCGACAGACATACTACTTCTGAAGTGTTCGCGGTGTAAATGAAGTGAAATGAAACTTAACACTTTTTTATGTTGTCAATATGATTTAAATAGAACCAAGTTTCTTTTTTAAATTGTAACTGTGAAATAATAAAGTACTTCAATATTGACATTGATAGCAGAGTAGTAGGAGGAAAGACACGAAAGATTTTGTGCAACACTTAGTTTTTGATGTACAAGTGGCACACTTGTCTCCTAGCTATTTGTTCGTTTTTCTCTGCGAAGAGAATAGCACTGTATTCATTTCAGGCGTATGTTTATGCGAAATATCTGTTTCATTCATGGTCATTAGTTTTGTATCTGGATTAAGTTAAACTAGGAAAAAAACAAAAACAATTGTTTCGCTTGATTAGACAAGATTATTAACGTAAATATTGCTTTTTTCCACTATGAACGAACTCAGCTATCGTTCTACTAAGATGCATTAGAAAATGTATCAACTCCGTCGATAGACTGATGGTGTCTTACAAATATTTACCTACATATTGAATCGTAATGATTAGATACACTCAAATATTGGTCTTCTGCTGATAAGGAATGTTTCGTTTTAATATTCTGAAGATCAACGGATCTTGTGTTTCATTAATACTGAATTATTAATTAGAATTGAAAAAAAAACGAGAGATTACACACGTTATTGATACACGAACATGAAAATGCGAAACGACATACCATCCCGAAAACTATATGCATATATATTTATTGAAATTTAAGAGAGAGAGAGAAAAGAAACTTTCGAGATTGAATATCATAGAGAAAAGAAAAAAAAATCTTAATTATATCTAATCGATGATTGCTCTTGCGTTAATTTTGCAGTAATATGAAGCTTACCATCGGGATGATATTGCGATGCTAAGCTAGAGAAATCGGTATTTGATGGTAAGGTTATTTGTTTGTAGAAATATGCGCGTGTTGATGATGTAGGTGGTCGTTCAATATTATGTTCAGCTTGAACAACAAGATCATTGCCATTAACCGAGACTTTGATTTCATTGGGTTGGTAGTTATTTACGTCAAGTTTCATTTCAATACATTTCTGACCGCGATCATCGGTGTAGACTTGCGGTTGAAATGCACTTCGATAAAATGCTTCCGTATTGAAATCACGAGCAAATAATGAAGTATCACTACTAGGAAATCGATCATTCTTTTGATCGCTTTGACCGCTTCCAATACGTCGTGAAAATTCGCGCACTTCAAGATTCCGTGACGATGCTGGTGATAAGTTTCGACCGCCAAGACTAAGACTTGTGCGAAAGCGGTCTTCATCGAGACCTTTAGCTATCGATGGACTACCAGAACGATGATGCTCAACTTCATGAGAGGACTGAACGCCTGACGTTGGACTTGAACGACGATGATGTGTTTCACGGTGCGTTTCGGTAAATGTTTGTTCTGTGACATTGTCGAAATCACCACGTATCGATGAAGGAAATGTTGTTCGTGATGGCGAATAGTTTCTTGAGACGCGATATGTATATGCTGGCTTACTCGATTGGTTGATCGAATCTGCTATTGTAGAAGTATTAGAAGCTCGATTGAATGGGACTTCATATTCGTGTGATTGATTATTAGTACTCGATGAATATGTATTCATAGTATTACGACCGAAATCACTGTTACCGAATGGTCGGTCGAAAGTTGAAGTACGCGGCGGACCTGAAACGATCAATGTTTGCTTTTCTTTGAAAAAGCCGAACGAAAAAAGTATTTTTTTTCTTTACTTGGAATTCGCTCGTAAGTATTCGTAGTACCACCACCGAGTCGTCTTGTTGATGTGTATTCAGTTGAACTTCGTTGTTGTGTAATTCCAGATGTCGGCCGTTGAGATATGTCATAATTTGATAAGAATTTCGACGATGTTCGACCATCGTCGATCAACACATTCGAATGACGTGATGGAAAATCAACTTGCATTTTTGTTATCGTTGGAAATGATACATGTGGGCTAAAAATGATTCCAGAGGTACAAAGATGGCAAAAAACGACATTTGAATATGTCTATACCTATGAGAATCAACATCACGAGGTAATTCAAACGATTTTTCAATAATTTTTTTGGCTGTACTCTAAACAGTCAAATATGTAAATTACTTTTCGTCGAAAAAGGAAAATAACACCAATATATCTTACGTCATTATGATTTTCAATATGTTCGCCATAGACAACCAGCTTATTTCCATCCACACGGATGTTCACCTAGTTTAGAAACGAAATGTTATTTTCCTCGAACCAAACCGGTTTATCTTCACATACTTCATTTTGACTAAATCCGTCAATATTAATATGGACCCGGAATTTTTCTTGACCAGTGATTGGATCGTTCACCCATTGTACACTCGTGTCATGATTGCGAATACGTTCCTGTACACGTTGTTCGTTAGGAGTATTATTAAAACTATTTATTGAGCGTTCAATAGGGACCGGCACGCGTTGACTAAACGGTGCATTGAATTGATCGTTTCCTCGACGAGTTTCTTCGTGTATAGTTCGACTTTCTGAATAGCGTTGTGAACACATACTCACTTGATTCTTATAACTCAAGCACAAATCTAGAGAGAGAAAAAGTAAGCGTTTCTTTTTTGATATCATTTGTACAAAATGTATGAGTATATGCATTGAATATTTGGCCTTGTGTCTCTTCTTTTTTTTACTCAGTGAATATACGTAAAAATAAAAAAGAAAGAAAGCAATAATGACGATAATGATAGATTGATTTTTATCATTGCTTGTCTTTAACCCGATTAACAACGCTATAGATGGGCATGCAAGTACGCAAATAGTTTGCGAGCGATTCATACACTAGATATAATCTTTTCTTTCCCTTTAGTCGCTCGTTTTTTGCTTAACGATAAATAAACAATGAAAAAATGTTTTCTTTTGACAAAGACATCTTACCGCTCATGTTTGTGCTTTGCATAAAAAAATAACCGAACGGTATCTTTTGCGTCTACATCGAAGCCTGCCGAACAAGGGAATAGTTTCACCAATCACTGCTAATCAGTCGAACAAAAAACTACACGCATACGGATAGACTATCGGCACGGATACATGTTTTTCATTGATAATACATAATAATAATAATTGCTGCGTATATATATATATATAGGTTTATTGGCCAATAAACGAGAAAAAAACAAGAAAGAGTTGTGTAGGCGATATATTTATCATGGATTAGATATTGTATTTCAGCCGATGCTAGAATTTAGTCATACATAACTCATTGATCGAGAGGTGATGAATAAGACAAATTATAGTTAAAGAAAAAAAAAGCCAAATCGATTCTTCTCACCCTTTTCTTTCTTCACACTTACATGCCCAACATTCACCACAAGAATAGGAGAGAAAAAGAAAATAACTCCGTGGCTTTTTTTAAACTCACAGCAGAGGATACTTTATTTATTCTTAGTATTCGCGTTCTCTTTTCTCTTCTCAGTCTTTTTCACATATTCAATACTCTAAACTTCTTGTTCTATCATATTTGTTATAAAGTATCGTTGGAAATTATGACTTTCGAATGTATCTGATCGAAGCAATAGCGACAGCATGTGGTATGAGTCATTTATTTTTCTCTATTCGAGAAATTTCGAGAAGTAAATTTACATTTCATCGACAGATCAATGTCTAATAAAGTAAGCTGTATGAATGTTATTAGAGTCAATAAGACCATAATTTAAATATGATCATTGACGAAATGAATCATTAGTTTGCTTGGGATGCTTACTTTGATATATAGCAAGACTAGACGATAGTCTACTTTTACAATTTGCCTTTGTTCTTGATAAGAAAATAGAAATGAAAGCAAAAGACACACTCGGGTTAATATTCAATAAAAATCATCACAGATAAATGAAAGTCTTAAATAAGAAGAAGAAAAACGATGCACACGTCCTTGATGAACATGTACGTGATTCACCAAAATAATTATTGTCGATTCGTTGTTTTTACACCAATGTGGATTCTGTTAAAATACGTTGAACTTGTTCTTGGACTGCGAAATTAACTTTTAGATGGCGATGTCGATAGAGTAAAACATATGCATCAGATCGAATAAGATCTTTGACATTTGCTAATGGAGAAACACGTGTATCATCGAATTGACGCCAACCTAAAGAAAGATTCATATTCGTGTGGAATTCGAGAATGATTTCTTGCCTATATCAGTCTTGGCTGGATCATTATTCGCAAGCAATCTAGCGTAGGATGTGTAGTGTCCAAACCATGCTGAACCTCGATGATTTACAACTCCGTAGAGATCGTAACGAGATTGAGTGGTATCACTACTATCTTCGGATACGGATGCACAGTATGGTGTCATATCGAGATTACTAAAAGACATGTATGCTGTGTTTTATTTTCCTATTGAAAATAAAGTTTGCCACGTACTGAATAGGAAATTTCACCGTTGTATCGATCTTTTCGCGTGTACTCGACATGTAATACGATGTCGAATATTGATTGTATTTAAATCGTTTCAGATGGATAATAAGTATCGGTGGTAAACGCCAAACCGACATACATTTTTCGGCTTGAATATGTTCTTTACAACGTGGACAATACCATTTATCATCCGGACCTAAGACTTCGGGTTTGATAAACAATTCCAAGCATTGTTGAAGGGTTATATCTTGCTCTATTGCACACAATATCGATGCTTTCTGTAGATAGACAATCACAAAGAAGTGTTCAACTTACCTCCACCAGTAGAATTGAAAACACTATCATCTTCCACGAGACCATTGATTCGATCTCTATTTAACGGTAAAGTAATACGAAGGGGCGCATCCATTTTATTGTCTGTGAACCAGTCAATTGAAAATGTAGAATAACAACGTAAAATATAATCTGCATCTTCACCTGTAACAAAAGACTCTCTTTCTTTTCTGACTCTTTCTAGTGACGAATTACGTACCCGGCTCGATAATTGATTGGAGATTATTGCCCGAAAGACTCGCCGTCTGAGGTATTAAACGAAATAAAGGTTGATTACCAATTATATCGTCGAGCATATCAAAATCATCCGTGCTACTGTGGCTACCACTGTCATCACTAACAATCATCGGTTCTTCGTCTTCTTTTTCTATTGTTGATATGTTTTTCGCTAGTTTTTCCTTTCGTTTTCTCTCTTGATTATGACGATTTTTGTTTTTATTTGTTTTAACAAAGTAATCGCCGATACGACAAATGGACCAAGAATCAGATGACGACAGGGTGCTCTTGATTGTTGGCCAGTCAACATTTTCAATGTCGCTGAAACTAATCAAACGCAGTACAAGTTAGAATCAGAAGGGGAAAATGTCCAATAGCTTACCTGTCATCGTCATTGTCGTTGACTGTTTCATAGTCATCGAAATCGGTATGGATTTCAGTGGATCGTGGAGTTTCTTTTGTGCGTTCTATATGAATATTCACATATCGTCTTGAAACGAAAGGAGTTAGTTCGAGATTTATTTCAATGATTTCAACATACTTAGCATAGAGACTGATTTGTTCGAAGATATATTCGCAGGTTAATTTCGATTTTGGCACAGAAATAACGAAGGGAATGCCCATAGTTTCATAAGTATTCGATGCGCGATGTTTACACTGATGTTCATGTTCACTTTTGTGAAGTCTCAGACATTGTCTAGAAAAGTCAACATGTATAGAAGAATGACGAAATGATGCCCATAAACTTACTCATCACAATAGGACGCTTGATAACAATTCTTGCAGTACTTTGGTGTTATATGAGGATTATGTACGGCTTGACAATAGGCACATGGTAGTACGTAGTCAGTTGTCTTGAAGACTCGTTGGAAAAATGTTAAGGTAACGATTGGTTCATCATCACATTCTGTACTTGTTAAGATTTCGGTTCTAAAGCCAAAGAGAACAACCATTCAAATGTGTCTTCCGCTTCGTATAGATATTTTCAATTATCAGATGTCATAAATCGCTTACATATATATAACATCCGAATTGTTCCATGAGTACCCACCAGTTGGTACATACATTTCATTTGAAAGATGCTCGGCAGTAGAATTATCTTGAATTTTATAAGCTAACATCTAGTTAAATATATAATGTTCATAATCAATGATGCCAACAATGAAAATGAATAACTAACTTTAGCGATTGGCAAACCACATTTGTTGAATAGCAAACGTTTCAAATCTGCGATAGTTCCATCTGACGACATGGTGATGCGGTACTAGAATCCGAATAGGACTTTACAAGAAACTTTGGATAAGAAAATGCTCTGTACTTTGATGGGTGCTCTTTCTTCACTTCGGAAAATAACGACTGCATCGACAGCGATTTGTTTTGGTAGTGGTACAGAGAGCGACGTGAACGGATCGAACGTAGTTGATTCCTAGGATGAACGAAATATGGATTTATTAAGTTTGTTTCCTTGACTCACCTTGTGACACTGTGGACACTTTGTCTTTGATTTGAACTGACCTGTAAATAATTGTACAATTAACGAATCGTTACGAGACAAGTAACCACGCCAAGCCTCATCAGCGACTTCCTATTTTAAAGAATGATCTATTAGTAGACAAGAAACGAGTTTTCAGATGTACGTACATGGTCAGGGCGATTCTCATCTTCAACAGGTGGTACTTGAGGTTTGTTTAAAATCCGATTAAGATCCTGAAATGAATGAGATTAGAAGAACATTTTCGATCTCGAATCTTATCTTTACCTCATGAAGAGAATCTAGTAAAACTGTTAAGTATTCTTGTGCATCATGTTGTCCATTGCCAGCAAATTCTTGGTGTCGTTTACCAGCATACTCCTAAAGTAGGATCAGATTTGAAACATCCAAATTCAATTCTTAACTGACTCGCAATTGATTGGCGTCAATGTAATTGTACGCTCCACTCCATAGTTTCTTCACTACATTGGCAAATTCTTCAGCCATGATACCTTTCATACCAAGTGCATTTGTTCGATTTATTTCCAAACAATAGTATGCCTCTATTAAAATAAATGAATCTTCTTCCGAAGAGTGACAATTTCTTCTTCATACGCAAGAAATAATCTCGTAATTCACGTGTGTTTGCTAGACATTGCACGACTGCATTCATAAAACACGAATTCGCTGGATTGTATATACCAGTAAAGCCGATCGTGGACGTCGTACTACTCAAACTTGTAAGATCTTTTCGAGAAAGTGTCGAAATGGATGAATACGTCTCTGACTACAATAGAAATGCGATCAAAATTTCAAAAACACATATAATCTACATTACTGTTCTTATTGGAGGTAATGCTATAATAGGAGCTGAAATGAAAAGAAGAAATAGGGTAATTTCATGGATGAAAATATTTCTACTAACCTCGATGGATATCATCTGTGAGTGTTGATTTTGCGGATCCTAATGGATGTGAGAGCACTGATGAGAATTCATTTGGTTCGAGTTGGTTCCACTTCATTCCATATGCATTATCTTTGATAAGGGTGATTTCAATACATATTGGGGTGACTACACAAGTACATCGATGAGGTCTAATTCGTTCCTTAACACGAACAA